CTTAGAAATTGATTTCCTCTCGATGCAATATTGACTGGGATTTTAAATAAGGGAATATTATGAATTGATATTACGTACAATTAGACATGATGAAATCTGGATTTTCCAGAGAAATGAGAATTGACCCAGTTTTAATCGGAAAAGAAAGCAAAAACTATAAAAAAAGTGTATAGAGAAAGAGAGAGAGAGACGGTTAGTATATACAACTGGATATTTAGAGATGCTGCTTTTTTATTTTCCCCTCAATAAAAAAGTAATCGTAAAATAAATAATTCATATCAATGAATAAATAAAGAGAGAGAAAAGTAAATTCATGTCGATGAATAAATACCCGGCGTAAATTTATGTCAATAAATAAAAATCGTTAATTCTTGTGAATAAATAAAAAAAAAAAGCTTGACAGAAATTTATACCAGATCTGAATTAATTGTAAATAAAATAACTCATAAATATTTTCAATATTGAAATTTAATTTCAGTTCATTCTTTTTTTTCGAATTTTTTTTTCTACTTTGATCTTATAAGAGGGGCCTATATATACGGCAGATTGAAACTCAATTTCAATTCATATGGTTTTTGTTTCGTTTTCCACAGACACAAAACAATTGAGATATTAAATTTCCTTATTTGATTTTCAAATCTGCATTTCGTATATAGAATTCTACTGTAAATTGCATTTTTCTGCTTTAAAGTCTAAACAGCTTATACTGATACCCATATATAATGGATTGAAAATTAAAACTTTTTTTTTGTTCTGCTGTTTACTGTATCAATTTATTTTGCTTCCTCGTGGAGGAAGCTATGTAGTCCTTTCGTTTATAAACTTTTTAAAAATGGTGAAAACAAATTTTCCTCTATATAGAAACATGTTATATGAGATCCTGATCAATTGTCCGGATGTATGTATGTGTGTGTGTGTGTGTGTGTGTGTATGTGTGTGTGGATCGTTTTTGTGAACACGATATCTTTAACAGGTTTTAATGGATTTGGATAAAATTTGGTAGGCTTATTTAACACATTAATCTCTCAAAAATGACAAGAGGATTTTTAAAAATACCCCAAAAAAAAAATTTTATCGTCTTTTTTCCAAAAATTTTTTTTTAATTGAAAAAATTTTTAAATCGAAAAATTTAAGGTAATATATAATATAATCGTCTTCTTTATGTCAAGATGAATCGATTGATATATATAAAGTATAGATTTGATTGAAATTTAAAGAATTAAAGAAAGTTAAAAAATCAAAAATTCTCATTTTAGCTAAAAAATGATGTGTTTATTTAAATTCATGTTTATATATGAAATAATTTTATTCCCTGCATTGAAACGAATTGGTTGGTATATATAAAGTATAGATTTGATTTAAAATTTGAGAATTAATAAAAATTGAAAAATCGAAAATTCATATTTTAGCTAAAAAATTTTGTGTTTTTTTTAAATTCAAGTTGATGAATAAAATAATTGTATTCCTTGCATTAAAACGAATCGATTCGTATATATAAAGTTTCTGTTACACTCAAAATTAATTAAAATTTTCTTTATTTTTCAAAAAATTTAATTAATTTAAAACATTTTTAACTCGAAATTTTTTAAATCAATCAATTGAATTGGACAAATTTATTGCTTCCTTCACGAGGAAGCGAATTTTTTGCTTCACACAATGAGGAAGCATAATGTTTATGAAATAAACATAAAGGACCCCCTCCTTGTTTATAATGACTTAATAATTCTATACAAAATATTTTCAATAATATTTTATCCATAAAGAGAAATTTCCCTTTTTCAAAAGAGAAATTTCACAAAAGTTATAGTACATATATTATAAAATTTAATGAATTGCCTCGTACGACAAATTAATAATAACATGAAAAGAGAAATAATTTGCAAAACTTTGAAATATTAAATCAAATATACATCATAGAAAGCAAAACGTTAATTTTACAAGTGTGTTATTGTAAATTTGAATCAGGGTAAAGTTGCAAGTTATTCATATTAAAATCACGATCACATTGAAATCACGTAGCTTTCAAGCAAGTTGACTAAGTTAAAGAGGATTATGTACTACTGAAACAGGAGAACAGATCAAAGGAGCATTTCTGATCAGCTTATGTTCTCAACCATTTATACTCACGAAACAAATTAAATTTGTGTAGGAGGAAAATTCAGAACGGGAAATTCACTTATTATGAAGTTTCATATTTATTTTTAATGTTGCAAATTTATTCTCCAAGATGACCAAAAAAAAAGTATTATTTTCATACTCAGCAATTTTTGGCGATCAAAAAAATTACAATTTATAATTTCCATGTAAAGATTATAAAATAATCGTTAAAGAAATATTTTTCAAAACACATAAATCAAATATCGTTCATCATCGTCGTATATGATAAATTTAAAATTAAATATATCATTTTGTTTATTTAAAATTTAATTCCTAGGAATGAATATATCAACATTTCTGGTGTGGAATTCTTCTGGGACGTCGCGTCGTTTCGTTACAAATTTATATGACTTTAGAAATCATACACATTTAACCTAGTTAAATTTAAATTTTGTTCAATTTTCTTCACCACGAGAAACCTGCTCAATATTTATTACGAATTCTTTTAGAATATTTCTGAGAAAAAAAAATGTAGGTACATATACTTATATTGGAATTTTTACACATGTTATAGCAATTTAACTTTTCTTTTTATTTTCACAAATAATTAAAAATGAAAAATTTAAAAAAATTATATTTTCATTTAACTTTTAATATTTAGGAATACAAGTAGGTTTTTATAATACTTTATTAAAAATTATATTTTTTAATTGAAACTAAATTTTTTCACTTTTTAATCATAAAAAATTTAATTTTCAAATTTAAAAAAAATTGTAAAGTTTAAAAGTGGACGATTAAAAAAAATGTACAAGAACTTTATTTTATAAAAAAAGTAGTAAGAAGATTATATTTATGGAATATATTTAAAAAATGCGTAAAAGAGTTTTAAATTTTCTTGTCACAGGGGAGCTTATATGTATTTTTTATTAAAACCATGCATGCGCATTAATACGCAGCCTTAAATGTTATAGTAATGTATAAACTGAAAGAAAAATAAGTAAAATACACCTGAGTCTTCTACATTGTTGCTTTCGTTCTAGTTTTCATATTTGAAAAGAAATTTGTTCACTACATTTTTTTCTTAACATTCCTTTTTTTATGAAAAATAATAATATTTTAATTTTCAATTTTTGCATAATCTCAATTTATATCTTATTCCTATGTTTGGGATAAAATTTCTTTAATTTTTAATTCGTAAATAAATAAAAAAAATTTTATTTAATTAATTAAAATTAACTAAACAAACAAAATTATTTATTATTTATTTTATAAATTTAACATTATTTTAATATTATTTACAAATCGCAAGTTTTTATCAAAATGTAACATTTTGAAAAGAAATAGATAAATTTGTGTTTCAATACACAAAGTCAGAAATAATTTAACTGAATGATGTCTAAAATACTTTTGACCGTTAATATTTCAGAACTATCTCCGATAAAATTAGATCCAAATGCTCCAACCATTCCATTATAATAAGAATAATGTATTGATCACACAGACCCTATTTTTATCCTATAAATAATATTATGACTTTTGATTACAATATAAATATTTCTTTATAATATAAGTTATTTTTATACAGAAATTAATAAAAAAATATATATTCTATAAAATATAATTAATTATAAATGAAATATAAATAAACTAATCATTTCACATAATATTACATAGTAAAAAAAAAAATTTTTTAAAGTATTAATTATTTTCTCGTGTAAAAATTAATTTAAATTATGAAAAAAAAATTCATGAATTATATTTTTATTTTACTATACAATATAAATGTTAAAAACTTGTTTGAAACCTTGTTTTCATGAGTATATATCTTATAGCATATTATATGAAAATGTCAATGAATCGTTGTTATCGATTAAAGACTCGCTCCAGAATAAAATAAGGAACAGAGACGTAGAGTTGATAGTTTCGACGCGAAGAAATAATTAATGCTCAAAAAAGTCGTTAAACTTCCATACAACAAATTTCAGTATTTTCTCAACAACTCTCCTCAATAGTAATTAAATTCTTCAGAAGAAGAGTTAGATGAAAGTAATCAAGAAAGTATTATTTACGGCTGCAAACCACGAACAGCAAAAATAAAAAAAAAGGGGGTAACAAAAAATCTAGCTGTCCATAAAGTAAAAAAGAAAAATCATCATTATATTTCTTTTTTTTTTACCTATACTTTTCAGCACAAAAAAAAAGTTTTCTCTCATTGGGGAAACCTTTCTGGGAAAGTTTGTTTTCTCAACAACAAAAATGTTTGTCTAAAAGCAATTAAATAAAAACATAAATAAAGAAACGAGAAAGACATTTTTTTTCTATTACGTTAAAATTTTATAAAGTTGGAACATTTATAAATTGTAAAAAAAACCTTTACAAATGAAACGAAAGCCTTATTACAATATTTTCTCTTTTTTATCGAAAATGCAAGCAAATCATTAAATTTGAATATTAAACATTTGCCATCTCGCAAGGCCTTTAAACTGGAACAGAAATATATGAGGAGAAATGTTTGGCAAATATAAGATATATATTCAAAGTTATATGATTCTTTGACATTTTCGTTTGACTTGAGATGTATTTTTAAATTGTATATAAATTTTCAAATGTCGAGATGTAATGATTGATCGGCTATTAGAGATAAAAAAAAAAATTTTTCTTTAATTTTTTCCAACAATAATCAAAATTTCTCTGAATTGCAATGTAAAGTTCATTTATAAATATATAAATAAAAAATTATTTCCCAGAAAAACTATTTTTTTTTCTTTTAATAAAAATATGAATTTAATAATGATAAAATCATTTTATATTTTTAAAACAAGAAGAGAAAAATTTAATATAAAAAATATTTTTATTTTTATATTAAAAGGTTAATGGAGAAATATTTTATGAATATTTTTCAGACTCTGTAGAATGGAAAAATGATGCTTCATCGTAGTACGTCATCGCGACGTAAAAGAACGTCGCGTGCTATCGGAAATACTTCTCAAAATCAATTGACAGCTGCAGGTGGTCGCAGAGCTTCCTTGGCCTCTGTACCATCTGTTATAACTTCCGAGGCATCATCTGATTCCTTGTCAAATTTAGTAACAATGGAAAGACAGAGGCTTCCTCGTAGAGGTAGCACAGTGCCCAATATCAGTTTGGATGTTGACAACAATGCTTCTCAAGAAGAGGTAATAATTCCATGATCTCCTTATAACTAATTAAAAGTTATATACAGTATACATTGATAATTAATATTATTATATTAAATTATAATATAATTAATAAATAATGAAGAAAAAAAAACAAAAATTTATTTCAATATTAAATTTTACAACGTATTTTACAATTCAAGAAATCTATAAAAATGTAATAAAACTCTTTTTAAAAAAATGATAAGAAAAATAGTTTTGATACCCGACTTATTTTTTCATTGACATTCTCTCTAAATCTGAATCAGTCATATTTTACTGATTAGCAGTAGAAATCTACTAATTGCCATAGCGAGAATTGATCAACTGACAATTAGTAGAAATTTACTGATTCAATTACTGATTAAATCAGTAATGGCGGCGGCCACAAATTCTACTGATTTAATAGTTAATTTTAAAGGATATGTTATATACAAATTACTGATTTACATAAGTTATTTTCTATTGCTTGCATATTCACTAATTATATTAGTAAATTTCAAAAAATAACTGAAACTTCAATTAAAATGAAAAGTACTGATTGAATTAGTAAAATTTCTACTGATTATCAGATTTAGAATTTCTTTTGAAAATATTTTTCGTAGGAAAACAATCAATGTTCAATATACCCGTATATAGTATATCCCATATTCCACGAAACGTTACAATAGAAACTTGATTTTCAACCTCGAAAATGATTTTTTCAATTGTGAAAATACCTATACATTGTTCAAGTGAAAAAGCCTCGATGTACAACTCAATTTGACATGTAGAGAAAATTAACTTCTCTTTTTCACAATTTTCCACAGACAAATTCATTTCAAATCTATCAATTTGCTGTGACTTATTTTTTTTACCCAACAACTCTTTTCTTTTGTTTTCAATTTTGTAAAAGTGTTATATTTTTTTTATTACAATTAAACTCATTTGTTTACAAAATTAATTGCAATTTTTCATTCACACAGAATTAAAAAATTTACATTTCAATTAAATATTTCTTTTCATAATTAACAAGCAATTGTATCAATCAAATAAATTATTTTTTCCTAAGAGAAAAAAAAGTAATGGAATTTTATTTAATAAATATAAATTTTGTAACCATCATTGAAAATACAATAAAATCAATAAAAATAATCATTTTCATGTCAATAACCTTTGCTATTGATATACATTTCTTTAAATAAACAGTATGTACTTTGAATATATGAAAAGAAAACTAGACTGTAAGCAAACTAAATGAGTGAAAGTAAATAAAAAAAAGGAGAGAACATTTTCAACAAAATATTTAATTTTAATTATTGTTAAATAAAGAGAATAGCCAAACTTTAGAGCTAATAAAAATCAGTTAGAATTTTTATTTTAGAGGAATTTTCATTTTTTGAATTATCATTTAATTTTTTAGTTACCAAATTTTTATTTTTTCAAAATTCTTATTTTAAAGAATTTCTCTTCATCCAATTTTTTATTTAAAAGAATTATAATTTAATCGAATTTTAATTTAGAAAAATTATCGTTTAATCGAATTTGATTTGATTCAAATTTTTAAATGCCCGAATTTTCAATTTACCGAATCTTCATTTGTCCAAAACTGTAAATGATTGAACTAACACGACAGAAAAATTTTGAGCCGATTTTAAAAATTTATCAATGATTGGAAATTTTAGCATTTAAAAAAATCGAATCACATAAAATTCGATTGAATCCATATTTTTCTTAATAAAAAATGTGCCCAATTAGAATTTTTGTAAATAAGAATTTAAACCAAAATTAGTTACCTAAAAATTCGTTTAAAAAGAAATTGTAATTCGAAAAACAAAAATTCGCAAAAGAAAATTATATCCAATAATATTCTTTAAAATAAAAATGCTAACTAATGATTATTACTATAACTTTCTCTTTTGGAAATATTATTTTATTTGATCGACTGACGAGAAACGAGAAATTTTTTTTTTCTAGTGAATGAAAAAAATTCTCAAGAGTAAAAGATATATAAATAACACGAATCTTTTTCCTTTTTCTTTGCTTAGGCTATCAATCGAAGAATGCTACCATTGGATCCAGAGACGATGATCTCACGAGGGAATCCATCCCCCGACGGAAATCGTAGTCCTCGACATTCCTTAATCCCAGACGACTATAATCGAAGTCCACGAAACTCGTTGGTCCCAAGTGATCAAATGCGAAGTTCACGAAATAGTCTTGTTCCCGATATAAGTCGTTCGCGCAACAGTTTGGTACCCGAAGTCTCACGTAGTCCAAGGCATTCCTTAGTTCCCGAATCGGCATTGAGTCCACGCAATTCATTGGTACCATCGGACGTTGTTGGATACAATAGAAGTCCTCGCAATAGTCTTGTGCCTCAGAGTTCATCGAGAACTTTATTAAGTGAAAATGGCCTAAATGGAGGACCAATAAATCGTAGTCCAAGACATTCGCTGGTACCAGAGCCACTGAGAAGTCCACGTGGAAGCGTTGCAAACATTGATTTTGATCGAAGTCCCCGAGGATCAATTTGTCCTGACATGCCGCGAATGCAACCGAGAGGCAGTGTCGCAATTCCAATCGAAATGGACCGCAGCCCAAGAGGATCAATCAGCTCTGAATGTCACAATCAAAGTCCACGCGGTTCAATAGTGCCGGATTCAAATCGTTCTCCGCGTGGATCAATCGTACCCGATTCGAATCGATCGCCGCGTGGATCAATCGATATTAGCCGATCGCCAAGGGGCTCGATTTGTCCGGACAGTAATCGTTCGCCAAGAGGAAGTATAGGCATGTCTGCGGAGGCTGAGAGAATTGGCGGTGGTCCTGATCCGGAACGAAGTCCTCGGGGAAGTATTGACAGAGGTGGTGGCGGCGGGCAGGAAAGAAGAGCTCTTCCGAGAACGGGATTCAATCCTCAGGACGGCAGGAGAACTTCCGTTGATCAAGGTGACCTTTAAAGCTTCACTCCCCTACTGGTACTTTATCCTCATTCAATTTCCGCCCTGTTAACTCCTGGGAAATATCTCCTTTAATATCTATATAGCGCGTGTTATAGATTTTTCATAATATGCGAAAACAAGTAGATGCATCCTTCTTGCTAGTTAATTTCGTTAAACAAATTTTTTTTTTTTTTTGCTTTAATTATTTCTTCAAGTTGCACTCTCTTATTTCAATGATTCAAAGATCCAAATTATTTACATTCCCATCACTAATTGCAGGTCTGAATAAAACTGGTTTTTACTACTGACTCTACAATTCAAGTTGAAAAGTCTCATGGAAAAGTGACTTTTACTACTTTTAATAAATTTGAAAAATGTCTGACATAAAGTGACTTTTACTACTGAGATTAAAATAACGAGAAACAGACACATTCTGTCTGACTAGAATTGGTTTTACTACTGCGGAAAAATTATATGCATTGAAACTGACCTTTACTACTAATTAGCAATTACGAAAATTGTACTATTTTGTCTGATTTAAACCGAATTTTACTACTGATTCCATAATTTAAGATTAAACCGTTTGGCTGACTAAAGGTGACTTTTACTACTGAAATCTTGGTAACAAAATTTTGAACGGTTTTTCTGACTAAATCCGAATTTTACTACTCCAAAAAGATTCTAAAGAAAACTCACTTTAAATACTGTTAAAAAAATAAAATGTCAAATAAATATTTACTTGATAATATTCAAGTAACCGAATACTACACAGAAAATTAAAAGGCATTAAAATAAGCTGCAGCGCTTCTTATTTTAATCCAATTTTGCTTATTTTAATCCATTTTGGTATTAAAATAAGCAAAATTGGATTAAAATAATAAGCGCTGCAGCTTATTTTAATGCCTTTTAATTTTCTGTGTTGGAATTAAATAAACTATTTTTTCAGTGTACTAACAAAAAATTTTATAAATAAAAAAAAATTGATACGAAACAAGAAATAAAAGGTTCATTACTAAAAAATATAGTCTATCAAGTCGGTAAGAAATTAAATACCTCACAGAAAAAACCTAATCTCATTTTTGTTGCAAATCAAAATGAGCCAGTGCTAAACGACATAGACACGGCTCATTCTGAGTTCAGTTTTTTTTTGTGTAACTATAACTATACGCAAAGAGTATACAATTACATTAATATCACTCTTTATACTTTGTTCTACTTCATTCATTTACGTTCATGTTTATAAATAATTGAAACAAATATTCTCTCGCTTATTATAGAGGACAAAAATACAAAGCGCGGATAATAAAAAATTAATGTAAATGGAATAAAAATTGAAATAAATGAAAAATGTAGGATATATTAAAATATATAAAGGTTAAGTAAGTATAAAAAAGTAGGTCAGTAAATAAAATGGGTTGCATTTTTGTCTCTTTTTTGCTAAGAATATTTTTTTGAACCTTTTTTTTTTGGGGAAATTTTACATGAAATAATAAAATATATTGTCAGATTAAATCGTGATGTTAACACAATTTTTGCAATATACAGGAAGCATGCAAAAAAGGAAAGTATTAAATAGAAGTGCGAGATATAAAAAGAAGAAATACTGGTAAGCTCCAGGGCATCCTGCGAGACAATATATAGGTTATAGACAGAACAACGTCATGTTGTGCAAGCTCCCTGCGACCTTTCTTATTTCCGTGCTTCACAATTTTTATTATCTTTTCTATTAAAAAAGCGCTTTTTAAAAGTTAACTAAACACCGACGGCTTATATTTTTTTCTATATATCAAATTTTTTTCATATATAATCTTTTAAAAAAAGCAAATTAAAAAACGGATTTCGTAAATAAGTAACTTGCGTTCAATGTTATTAATAATAAAAAAAGATTTATTAACACCAGTTTTATGTTTCGATTAAGGGTTCAAGAGAGAAAAATAATCTAAAATCTTATAGTCTACCACTTTTATAGAGTAGAAAACAGCACTAAATGAGAGTTATATCAGTAAACTTTAAAACTATAATAGCCAATAAAAATGTATTCAACGAACTAGTTCGAAGATGAGAGTACGAGATAATAATATGAATTATATTTTTCATCAATTGTCTAAAAAAGTTTTTCAACAATTACCAAAAAGATAATCTCTTATTTCAATTTTTTGGAAGAATATAAAAAGAAGAAAGAAACTTTCTATCAGTTGGTATATCAAAATGTAAAGAAAAAATAAAAAAATCATTGATACTGGAGAGTGCACTAGAACGAAAAATGAAAAAGACTTGGACCCGAGGGAATAAAACGTATTTTCTAGATGACTCTGTCATATATAAAAATCTGTTTTTCCTTTTTCCCATATATTCTTTAAAAAAGAAGAAATGAAATTTTTTTTTGTTGAAAAAATTGTTTTCTAAATCTTCTTTTATATTGATAAATAGGAACAACAAAAAATCGCAGTGGTTCGCCGTATCGTCAAAAAGAGGCAAATTCCGGAAGTATCAGATCTGGTGGAAGTGGAACAGCTCAAGTGAACCTCGGCTATGGAACAAATGCATGGGCTGATTCTAGAAGAGCCAGCAGTTCAGTTTCTCAGGTAAATTATTCAGAGTTAAGTAAAGTTTCAAGGACTTGGATACAAAAAAGAAAAAAGAAAAATAATCTCTGTTCCCTAAAGTGACTAGTGTTGCAGTTTAACGTTTAAAAGTTTACTTTATATTCTCAGGTAAATTTAATTTTTCAAACAAAATTTTTCTTTTTATCTTTCAAGTTTGTTTATTCAAGAAGGTAATTCTTTAAAAAAAATTGTATTAAATTGATAAATTGATGAAATTTTTTCTTTACAACTGATGATAAGAAAATAGAAATATGGAAAAAATTTTGTCTGACTAAGGCAGTAATTTACTACTGAATTGAAGAATTTTGTCTGGCTTAAGCGGGATTTTACTACTGATTCTGGATTTGTCAACAAATTTTAACTACTGTGATAAAAATTTACTGTCTGACAGAAACTGACCTTTACTACTCACATTAGTTACTAAAATTTTTAATGGATCCTTCAGAATGTAATAAATATTTTTCAACTCGAATTCGAAATTTCAAAGATAAAAAATCCAGCGACTAAGTCAAATAAAATGACCATAGTCATTAAAAAAAGCTTTCTACATTTTTTTTCCTCCACACGATTTTTACAAAAAAAAATTTTATCCATATTTTTTTCATTCTAGTATTACTTTTATTGATCAGTAAAAGATTTCATTTTCTAGTGTGTATTATAAAATTTGCTCAGAACTTATTAAGTGTATATAAAAAGTTTTGATGGTTTCCACTTCACAAGCTAGGGAAAAAAATTGAGGGAAAGATGATTACTCAGGTCAAACTGGTATACACTTTTATAGTTCCTTTTTTTTATTAGCCTACGCGAGGACGTAAAAGAGGAAGCGGGAATCTTTGGATTAACTGAGATTTCCACTGTTTACTGAATCATGAGAGACATATTTTTAGCAAATAAAAAAATAATAATTCCCTTATAAATTTTATGAGCAAATTTTCACCTATAAAAAAAAGTGGGAATTTTTTTTTTTAGATTTCAGGTGATGAATCACGAAGATTATGTGTAACGGGAAGTGCCGATTTGACGAAAAAAGGAAGTACAAGTGCAGCACCATTGGGAGTTGCTGCTTATGGTTCTTTGGTGTTTCAACTAAAAGATGCTAATTTAGAGGCGAATGGAACGTGTGATTTCATTTGTAGAGCATTGAGAGTTGTCAGTAAAACAATGGTGGTCACTGTTTGTTTGGCTTGTCTATCAACAATGCCAATTTTGATGCTAATTCTCGGTAAATATAAATTTTTTATAAAAAAAAATATAATGTTTTTCATTTCGAAGAAATTTTTCAAATTTAATATTAATTATGGCAAAATATATTTACAAGTTAAACAAGAAAAAGTTTCTTGTTAAACTCAAGGGGTTCTTGTAACAACTCACGGAATATGTACACACATTAAATTATTCTCAAATATGAAGTGTGTATATGAAATATCCTGAATTCCCGCTAAAGTACTTTGAAATATTTTCAAGTACATTGAAATACCATGAAGTGTCTTAAAATATTCAGAAATAACATGAGCAATATTTTAAAGTGTCTAAATTATCCACAAGTGGTTTAAATATTTTTTTTATTCAAAAAAATATAATATTTAGAATTAAATTACAAAAATTTTCTTTTGAAAACAAAATTCTACTAAAAGAGATTTAGTTAATAAAAAGATTTATGTATTTTTTACCAAATTGTAAAAAAACGAACTTTTTTAATAGAATTTTTTTTTGCTTTTTAAAAAGCCATTATTAGAAATGTTATTAATGTTTGGGGGAGAAAAGGGAGAAAAAAAAGATGATAAGAGTTGAAAAAATTACGCTTATGCGAAATATGTCAAATTTTTTCTGTCCCCCCCTCAAGGAGTCCAATTCATCAGGGATTGTCCAAGGGAGCCTAATATTCCAATTTATATGGTTGTTGGAGGGATTTTGGGTAGTGTTCGTATGTTTTGGACACTTTACTCTCAAATTCGTTCAAGGAGACCAGAAGTTCTAACAGTTCCTGGGGTCAGCTCTCATGTGTCACCCACAAAACTGGCCTCCATTCTTCTTTCGTGCTTCCTTGTTGGTTGGTTCGTATTAGGTAAGAGCAACATTTCTTTTTACTTTTTATATAATAATAATAATTAGCAAATATATAAAAAAAATTATAAAACAATAATTGTCAAAAAATATTCATAATAACTTTAGTAAAAATTAAATTAAAATTAGTAAAAATTTTAACCGTCTCTGCTATGAATGAAAAAAAAAATTTATATACTAATCCATTAGCAAAATTTAACTTACAGCAAAAAATAAATTAATATTTTTACTTATTTAAATTTACAAAGTAATTCAATTTTATTTCAAAGTTTTCCATTTTCACTAAAATTTTAATTGCTTATTTTTTATATATAAACTTTTTTACTTGAAAAAATATTGGATTTTTAAAAAATACATGTTACTTATTTACACTTTTTTATGCAACTCACAAAGTGCATTTGAAATTTATTTTTACTCTACTTTTTCGCTGCATGAAATTTAATTAAATGAAATAACTATGAGCTGACTGAAAACACCTACAACTTCTTATTTTTAAAAAAGAAAATTTGCCATATTTTTTTTTAAATTTTGACATAAGTAGAAAATACTATTTTTCAACTAAATTTATCACACGCGAACATTTATAAAACATTTAAATATATTTTTTTAAACTACTTTTGTTAATTTTCGTTTCTTTTTTAATTAATAATTAAATTTAATTTCGAGTTACTCAATTATGCGGAAAGATTGCAAAATGATTGAAAAAAAAAAATCTGAAATATTTTTATGGTAATTCTTTTTTAGGAGTTTAACGTTAAAAATTGAAAATTCATTGAAAATAACAAGATTTTTATGGTATAAAACTGCATAAATCGATAAGTCGTCTAACTCTTAAAAGTAGCTATGACAGCACTTTTTCCCCTTAATACACATAAAAACATCAGTTTGCCTTTTCCCAGGCGCATTCATTTGATGCGTGTATATAAAAGATCGACAGCTATTCAACAAAAAAATTATATTATGATTTATTTTATACTTTTATATATATACACACGTGATAAATTTTTCTACTATATATATGTATAATAATAAAGCTGCGTGAATTCTACATATATAATAAATATCAATTTTAAAAAGGAGGGTAATTTTTTATTTATAATATATTACACTACACGCTTCTCTTGGCATAAAAATCTTGCGTGATTCAAGTCCATAATTGTGCTATATTGATAAAAAATATTATTTTCTATCACTACCATCAAAAATATGTATATCTGCACACGAACCTTACGCTGACATATATAATTTTTTTTTATTATATCTTTTTGTAGTTATATTTTATTATTGTTTGAATATTTTTATTCTCTTAAGAATAATTTTTTTTTAATTTATTGACCTTTTTTGCGGGGAGGAATCAAAATTTTCACATTGCAAAAAAACTTTTGAACCACCTTTAATGTATATTTACATCGTAAAAGGATCGTAAAAGTTGAAACTGGCTTCAAAACTATAAATTACCAAAGTAAATGAGAATTCAGGATTAAACTGTGCACTCGTGTGTCACTCGATTCACGGGCAATCTCATCGGCTCAACTGAAAATTTATTATCCAGATAAAAGTCTAATCTATCAGTCAGATAACGTAAAGTGAGTTTTGCTCTGAACCAGAAGAGGAAAGGAATTCCTTTCCTTCTTCTTGAAGAAAATTGCTAAAGGCATTTCCATGAAATTTGCATTTTGCATATTATCACAAAATGCGCGCCTTTGCCATTCTAATATAGACGTATTTTTTATTATAATATGATTACGCAAGTTGCTCATTTTAATATTCATTATCTGTTTATAAATTTTCCAGTGATAATAATTTATGAGAAACAAACAACCCATAGTTTGTTTATCACTCAGCCAGAAAAGCTCTCCCTCTACTGTAATTTTGAGATAATTACTTCACACAAATAACCATTTTTTAAAATTAATTTTTCATTCTTTTTAATATATTTTTTTTTTCTATAAAAATTTCAATTTTAGTAAAAGTAAATTTCTACTGCGTCTTAATTTTATTATCTCTGACATACAATGAACGTTTTTGATGTTTATTTTCAAGAAGTTGATTAATCCAGAAGATGCTGGATTTTCTTGAATCAATATAAACTTTCCCATAACTTGGCGAATGTTAAATTGTTCAACTTTGATTAAGAAATATAAATTGCTATACAATGCACATTTTTGTTATCATAAAATTGTATTTCTTTTTTGTAGAGCTCCTTTTTTTTAAATTAAAATTTTTTTACTCTCGTGTGCTATTATGATTTGACACACGCAAAATGCAAATACGGTTAATATTAACAAAATATTAAAGTAAACTTACGTGATAGGATTTCTAGTTTACTTTAAAGAAATATATGTAAATCTCAAGAGTTCTATGACCCAATTTCTAAAATCATGCGTGTGAAAGTTAATGTGCGCGCACGAGTTTCGTATAATATTTTTATTCGGGATAAAGTTTATTTTAGCAACATTTTCAAAACGTAGTAAAAACATTTTCAAAACTTAAATATTTTTCCAACAAATTTTTATGTAAAAATAAACGTTGGATATATATTTTCAAAAATTATAATAAAATGATAAGTGAAGTATCGAATCAAAGAGGAATCTCATACATAAAACTTGTATATTTATCCCGGAATCGAATCAATAAGTTATCTATAGGTAAAACGAGGTGGTGAAACACAAACATAAGAAAAATTGCTAGTAGGTAAATTGACACTTTGCTTTTATGAAGAGAATAAGGTTATAAATTGCAAAAAAAAAAGTTTTTAATACTTTTTCAAATATAAAGCTAAAGTGTTTATATTAAATTATAATTGCAGTTAAATATTTGAAAACAATACCTTTTTTTTTAAATAAATAATTTTTAATTTCCCTCCCTCGCGACTATTTAAAACAAATACATTTTATCAAAATAATTAATGGGGGATTTTGTAAATATTTATCGTTTCAGGAAATTACTGGATCCTACGCATACGAATGCCCGATTTTGCACCCACATTATTTGAGCCGAATTTATGGTGCCACAAGACCCTTTACATTTTCTCCATAGTGCATCTTTTTGTCGTTTACACAGTTATCTCAGCGAGTCTTATAACAGCCCTTGGTCTCACTGTTTGCAGAATTTTATCCTGTCCATGGCCCGAAAGGTAAGAATAAATAACAAAAAAAAAAAAAAAAATGTTTTCTAAAATAAAAAAGCAAACACCTCTCTCCCCTAAGCAAAAGAAAGAAAAATATTGACAAAATTGGTACAATAATATCAATTGAGTAGAACATTTTCCTTTCTAGACTATATTCTCTCTCACTTCTACCCTCTTCATCTTTCAACTCCTACTTTGTTTACTCAGAAAAATAAAACGAAAATAAAATACACAAGAATCTTTCAATCTTTTTGTGACTTATTTGTTCTTCTTGTATAGCGTTTGATTCTTATTATTAAATTTTTATACTATTTTACTTTTGTCTGTTTAAAAGTCAATAAAATTTCATTTAAGCAATCAATTGTATAAACCATATAAATATTTTTTAAAAGATAAAACAATATTTTCGATATTTACAAATCAATTTGATTTCTTTTATAAAGATTCTTTCTTGCTCCGAAAATAAAATTACAAGAATTAAAAATTTTCTATCTGACTAAAACTGTATATTACTACTGAACAAAAATTAAAGATTTCTAAAATTTTGTCTGACGGAAAACTGATTTTTACTACTAATAATAAAATTAGAAGAATTTATTCTGTCTGTCCGATACGGAATTTTACCACTGATTCTACAATTGAAACTAGAAAAGTCTGACTGAAAACTGACTTATACTACTGCCATAAAAAATGAGAAAATTTCTGTCTGACAAAAATTGAATTTTACTATTAAGAATAAAATTAGAAGAATTTATTTTATCTGCCTGACCAAAACCTGACTTTTACCACTTATTTATCTTATTAATTCTTCTATAGTAAAATAACATTTTTAAATATATAAATATTTAATTTTTTTTTAATGAAATGAACTTTTTTGTTCTTATTTTACCAAATTTTCAGTATTCTCCCTTATTTTCGAAGATTGAAACGAATCTTAATTGAATAAAATGATTGTACTAAACGTGATTCTGAAGCAAACCAATAAACTCTTTGAGTGGATGAAAGGTCGAAAGGTTGTGAAAGGTCGAAAGACCGAAACTAAGAGAAAATGCATGAAGCTCTCAAACCGATTCTAATCTACAGCAAGTCGAGAAACCACATACATACATACATACTACAGGCTCAACACACTACTCTCGGTGAAACTTTCAATGCAATAATTAATTGAAACGTGTTTGAGAACAAAGCTAAATTTGACATTCTCAACCGAAAATTGTCGGCAACTATTGACGCTTACATACGTAAAATAATTCATCACAAGACTCATCAATGTTCACTTAATGAAAACAAAATCCTCTAATAATTGTAATTAAAAAATTTTTAATAAACATTTTTAAAATATTTTTTTTCAAGAATTTGAAGAATTGTGAATAAAATTACAGTATTTTAAAAATATAAATATAATGTTAGTGTCATAAAATGTATAATTTATTATTTTAAAGTATATATATATATTTTTTTTATGCTACCATAAGTATAGATTCAAGATTAGAAAATGTGCATTTTGCTCATACTTAATATCGATCATTCCTGCAACTATAGATATAAGGAACGTGATAATTGCTTTTAATTATATTTGCAGTCTAAAAGGTACATTATGTCCGTAATTTAATAACCCTATAGTATATGGAGAACAATGAAGTAAATACCCATGGAAATGCTTACAGTTACATAATGTATTTATTAAAGATTAATTTTATCACATCCGTGATATAATATTTAGTATTTATTAAATTATTTTTCGATCGTATAATAAGCTCATAATTTGTTTAATGACCCATAAAAATAATCTTTACTTTTGACCCTTATATTATACATCACACAATAAATATCGAGAAGATAAAATAATTTCATTTTAATATCAAACCGCTACTGCTAAACTTAAAATAATCTATAAAATATTAAGTCTATTAAATATTAAATGATTCATATAAATCATTTTATTTAAAATCATTACATATTTTATAATATCTAATATTTAAATTTCGTCAATTATAGATAAAATATTGATTTTAATATAAAATTAATTATTAAATATAAAATTAAATAATATTAAAATATTTTTAAAAATGTTTCTTAAAGTATGCATTTTTTTTTCTCTTCTATTACAGGTATAAATAACCACGGCATTCAATCAGGCTGAGAGAGGTTCGTGAAAAAAAGTCAGCAACTGTTACAAGTCGACATCAGGAAAAGTCATTTGAAGGGAAAATCTTGGAAGAGCTCACCGAGGAAGATGAGGATGATGAAAATAGTGACAAAAAATCAGGAGGTAACGAGATCGTTCAGGAAGTCAAGTATTGCAGTAAAGTGCAATTCCGGGCGCCGGATATCATTGAATTATAAAAGAAAACGATATATACGTTTGGACACAATAATCCGCTTTTTTTTTTGCCCAGGAGAAAAAAATTCGATTTGCCGAGAGAAAGAAAGAAAATGGTCTCAATACTCCGATAAAGATCACTTTTCAAAAAGGGGGAAACAGCCAATAGGTGTAAAATAATGTCGATGAGAAAGGAAATATTACATCCTTAAAATAAAATTCGACTCATACATAAATAACACCTACACACATACACATGTATACACATACACCAAAAGTCAAAATGAAGAAAAATCTCGTCACTTCCAGTGCAGTTGTTTCGTTTTATAAAGTCACTGAAATTTCACGAACCCATGGAAAAAAAATATATAGCAGTGTTTTGTGATTAAGTGCTATACGTGAAAAAGAACAGCTAAAATTTATAAAAATAGGTTTCGTTCCACGTTAAAAAAGAAATTTTTTTTCCTTTACATTACATCGAATTTTATTTATTATAGGTGGAATGATTCTTGAAACCGAAAAATTAAAAAATAGTGGTCAAAAAGTGCCCCCCTCCCCCTTTTAAAAAAGTGCAATATTTGTTTAACATCCAAGTTAGCTGTTGAATATATAAGTGTTGAAAAATGTCTTTCGAGACATTTGTATTATTAGGTATTGTATATTAAAGGCTGTTGTTTTTTTTTTACTTTGCTCAAATTCTTTTTTTACAGAGGACAATTTTTATTGTTTTCTTAATATATTTATAGCATAATAGGACAAGTCGATGTTACGGTGAGTATTCGACATATAATTAATCCATAATTTTGTTAGATGCAAATTTTTCTTACATTTCCAAAAAATTTTTTGTATTTTGATATAATGTACATATATAGCAATAATTTCACACTTGCCGTGAATACTGTCGCTAATTAATTTTTTTTTAGTAGACATTTTTTAGCGAATCGTATGTGTGATGTTCGGTTTAATATGCGAATGAAATTAATATTTAAAAAAAAAAATCACGTTCTCGTGAAAAAATAAATTTCAATTAATTTTTTTTTGTTTCCTTTATCTCATAGAGAAAAGTGAAAAAAATAGTGAGCTTTAAAAAAACACTTCTTCTACGTCTCTTTCGTAATGATGTGCATTAATATTGATGCGTATTATTATTAATTATTCATGAGAACAAAAATCTCGTCTTGCAAATTGGCTCCAGTGAATACAAAAGTTCTTCAAAGTTCAAAGTAGTTAGATATAAAATTCATATAATGTGAAACCTCTTCTTACCCCATTAGCGCGTAATCCGATTTCACTGCAAATTCATTTCATTTGAAAAAAAGAAACTTGAATTATTTCAACTGTAATTCTTGAGTACAATATGTATTGAAATCTTTTATTATTATTTAAAAATCGTTTTTTCCACACTTCAAATCTTTTTACGCAAAAAAATTATAAATGAAGAATTTTTAACTTTTTTGTAACAATTTTCAAAGTTTACAATAAAAAAGTTAAATAGAAAACTTAAGAAAGACTAAAATGAGAACTATAAAGTTTCTTAATTAAGTTCCAACCTAATATTAAACTTTTCGTGAACAAATTAGCGTATTTTTCAAAAAGTCAAATATATGTGAATATCATATTTTACAAAATAAAAAAAATTTAATCAATTAAAAAAAAATTTATTAATTTTGGCTTCGATTCACTGTCGCCTGCTGACATCTAGCATTTGACTTGAAGTGTGGAGATCAAACTTTTATTGTAACATTTTACATCGATGTAAAATTTAAAAATCATGTAAAAAATAATCTTTAACAAAAAATTTAGATAATTTTACTTTTCTAAGTTGAAGTGAAATATTTTGCAGTGACTCGAATCGATATCGTAGGGCGTATTCGAGTAAACACAAGAATTTTATGCTACGTATACACAATGTATACAGCGGACTCTCATATATATATATATATGATGTGCAAGAAAAAAAAATACATACCAAAAAATAATAAACGTATTTTCTACATTTTCTGTGCGCAAAAAAAGCATAAAATCTTGGGCATTGAAAATTATATTCTTCAGGTTGTGCAAAGATAGATTTTGATTAAAAATTTTGTTATAGGTAAGTCCTAATAAATAATAATAAATAGCAGAGAGCGAAATGAGACGAAAGTCAATTAATCGATCGATAATTATAAATCATATATATAGTTCATGCGCATAATAAATATATTGTCAGAAATATTTAACGTATAATATAAGATCGAGAATTTCTCATTATACCCAAAATATCAATAAATAAAAATTCCTACTTTCTAATTCATATACGAAAATGGATCAAAATGAAAATTTCTATCTAGGCCTGGTCTCGAATTTTAAAAATTAAGTCAACTTCAATAGAATCGAACATCCCTACTACAATTTATAAAAATTGCAAGCCATATAAATCCGTCTAGTCTGGTATAAATAAACATTTTAGTGTATCATAAAAAATAAATTTGCACGAATGTCATATATAAAACGATTCCAATCAATAGTTGACGGTAATTTTGTAAATTATATATATATAAAAAAAGTATAAGCATTGTAAGTATATAAAAGAATATATTTCGTAGGGACCTGACCAAAGCAGTATATCTAAATTGTAGAGCCTAAGAAAGAGTGAAAATATATTGGGAAAAAGTAAATTTTTCTTGAAAGATATTTCCTTTCCAATAATTCTATATTCCTATATAACCTATATCCTCAAAAATTCGGGGAATATTTTTGTTTCAAAAAACAAATTTTATTCCCTTCATATGGGGGCCTGTGAAGTCGTTTAAAAAACTGGTCCATACATATTTATTATCCACTTCACGTTCACCTGGCAACAAGCGTTTATTATTTACGGACTAGAAACCATTTAGTCCATATACTCCCTATAAAACTGTATATATCAGTGACAATTTCACTGATTTCATTTTCCAGTGGCCGACTTTCAACTTTTTTTCATTAGTCAAATTTTTTTTTCCAAATTTTAATTTAGGAACGTAAGAAATGTAAAAAAGAGATTATGAAAATGTTGAACATACGATTTTCAATTAAAAAATTTTAATTTAAACTCGAATCGAAAAAAAAATATTCTCTCTCAAAAAAAAAAATATATTCTTCTCAAAATAAGAAAAATAATTATTTAAAAATAAAAGAAGTAGAAGAGAAATATTTTTTCAATTTCACAATATTATTTTTCGGTGTTTATTTAAATTCTACAAAATACATATTCTATATAATATTATTTATTATTGCATGTGACAGATTAATAATTTCTTGCTCGGTTATTAGAAAATCTCATGCATATGTATGCGCGCGCATAAACGTAGATCATAGCGCGGAAAATGATGCACTACGAGTTCACTATTTGCCTGAATATTAGATCAACTCCTGCTAACATATATTTCTTATAAATATTTTATTTTTTTTATATATTTTTTTTATATTTTCCTTTTTTCTGATCAATATAAACATGAAATATTCCATTTTATGAAAAATGCACTGACACTGATATTTATCCCTATATACATATCCCAACAATATAAATATCTTCTCAAAGTATATATCCTATATCTTTAGAGATTTAAAATTGTACAATTTTTATTGTTGAAAAAAAAATGTCAAACTTAACGCGAGGATTATATATATATATTATTTTAAACAAACAATAAACATATATTGCGTTTTATTTCAAACAATATGGTAATATAATATCGTTTTAAAGCGAACCAAAATATTGTTCATTGTTCAAATAAAATGTGCGAATTTTAATTGTAACATTTATATATTCTATTAAATTTCACTAATCAATATTTCAGGCTCCTTTTTTTTATATTAAAAATTCCATTATTATAAAATTTATATAATTTCATAAAAGTTTATAGATGAGAACAATATTTTAATGACACTGTTAAAATATTTTTTGTTGACAATTTTGAAAATATTATTTATAAAGTGATATTGTAAAAAAAAATTCTTTATTATTGTTACAAAATTGTTTAATGATTTTAAAAGAAAACTTCATTAAAACAATGAAATATTTAGAAAAGTGTAAAATTGATAAATGTAAATTTACTTGTGTAAATTTACAAGTAGTAAAATATTATTGTTGGCAAACTTATATATTCTCTAGAAAAAGTTTAAGATAATATAACATACGTTATTTTAAGCCATGAGTTTCTATATAAAACTACGTTATGTAAAGTGTCACACACATTAAAAATATATGACACTATTTATGAATGAGAAGAAGAAAAAATATAATAAAATAATGCATAAAGCATTTATATTCTTTAGAGAAATGGAAAAAAAAAATGCAAAATATAATTTTTTCAAGAGTCGATTCTGTATATTCTAAATTCGTCTTCGAATAAAATGAAACTAATTTTTGACAGAAAGAGGAATTTCGTTTTAATAAAAAGAAATCTACATATTATAGAACGCCTTAATAAATAAAAAAATTAAAATGAATTTGACGGTTTTTAAATTAATTAAACAAAATCCGTCTTTACAATTACAGCAAAGTTTGCTGATTTAGAAATTTAAATTTACTTAATAAAAAAAAGGAATTATTTAGAAACGAACCAGACCAAATAATCATTTTACCAATTATATATAATATTTTAAAACACATTCCTTCACCTACGCTATGCACTAAAATCATATATATTTTTGTGACGCAAACGTATTTTATGGAAGAATGAATATTTATAAAAATACCTTAAAGGGTCCAATTTTATCACGAATTAATCAATTTAAAAATTTTAATTTTCCAGGTTATTAACAAATATTTTATAATTATAATTTTTGTCAAAGAAATGAGTTGTAAAGATCTTTGCAAATTTCTTTAAAAAAAACTTTATCTTAAATTTAAAACTGAAATAAATTTGAATTTTAAGTTTGCAAGAATTATTTTTTTCTCAAACAAAAGAAAACTTGATTCTTTTTTACCGAAATGAATAAAAGGAAAAAGAAATGCTTATTAACTATTAATGAACAAACGAAAGAAGATTGTATGAAGCAAAATTGTTCAGTCCCAATATTTAAAAGAAGCGATCGATAAACCTTTTAGGCCATTCCTAATTTTCTTTCATAAAATATGTAACACCGACCTATCCTCTATCCGAGCTTGAAATCAAGTTTGCATAGTTTATACACAAGATCTTGTGCTCTATCTAACACCGCGCCGCAGGAAACCGAGAGCATCTCTGACCCCGAACAAATTTCTCTGATTGGTTTTCTCTTATCCTGCGGAAGCTGTCGCTTTATACCCCAAATTGTTGGGCTTCTCCAAAGAGATAAACCTCTAATCCCATATTATATAGCACACATTTATTAAAGTAAAAAAGAATTTTCTTTCATAAAAGAAAGTAATTATTTAATTTAAGAAACCGATTTTTCAATGTAATTTTACAGTCAATGGCTGGCTTGAAAAGATTAGTTTCTCTCGCAAATAATTAATCAGTAAACGAAGTCATTGGCCAGAAAATCCGAACAGGAAATTGTTACAACAAATGCGTGACAAACTTTTCTTAAGTAAAAATATAAAATAAAAGGAAAAAGGTTTTCTCACTAACAAATTTTCTTTATTCAACTGCGCGTATAATCTTGATTTATTCACAGGATACTTTTTCACGATATCAGCTTTAAACGACTCCCATTTTGCCTGCTTTCCCCTTGCTCGCTCTAAGCTCGAGAAAAGTGTAATCGACGCACGCGAAACGGATATTTCGTGCGAAGGAAATTAGAACCAGTTATATATATAAACATATACCTAAGTAAAACTTCAGCTAATGTTACAAAAGTTAGAAACCAGACGCCTAATACATAAAACGAAAATTAATTCTTCTATATATTGGTGCTATCATACTTTCTCCCAAAAGAAAGAAAAAAAAATTACGAAAAACATTAGTAGAGAGAAGATAACAAAAAAATAATGTTCTTGCTCAGAAAAAAGTAAGTTTCACGAAAAATTATATATATAAATATATATGTCATAGTTATTGTAATGTATAAATTTATTGTTGAAAGCATATATATATTACGATTGGTGGGGCCATATTTTAATACATAACACAACGCTAATTATTGTCCAGATTTATTTATATGAAAATGCCTATTTTCTATAGAGAGCTATATTGAATGTTATACATGATAAATCCTTCCATTAAAATAAAACATGAATTAATTATTTACAAAATTAAGTCAAGTTTAATTGGAAATTTATTCAAAAATGAATATTTATTAATAGATTAATAATTTAATATTTATTAATATGGAGTAAAAACTATTTTCTGAAGTTGATGACAATTTGTTGCATTTGGAGAATAAACCATTCGTTAAGTGTTGAGAAATTAGCTTTAAATGGATTTATCATGTCTTGTTTGCTTACTCGGAATTTTTATTTGTATATATATACGTATATGCGAAATCAATTGAATTCCCCAACTCTATTGCAGAATGTAGATTGTATTTTCTATTCTTCTTTTGGGAAAAATAACACAGTTTGTGTTTCAGCGTCGCTGTTTCATTTGCAAAGGCTTTAGATTGTAACTTTGAGTGGATGAGAGAGAAAGAGTGAACGATTAAATGTAAGAGTATGAGTAAAATAAAATAATGTGCATTATAAATTGAAAATTTCTATTCATTTTTCTCCCTAAATTTTTTTTAGCGATTAATAAATATTTACTGCAATTAATTAATTTTACTAAATTAATAATATTTAAGTAAAAATTTAATTAATATTTATTAGTTTCAATTTTTAATTAATTTATTAAATTTTAATTTATTATTTATTAATTTTATCATTTATAAATTATAAAGAAAGAATATGGAAGAAAAGAATTTTTTTTAATAAGATAAAATATATAAAACAGTCGAAATAAAAAATTTGATGAAATTGAATTGCAAACTTGATTGTTCTTTTTTAGGATTTCATTGAAAAAGTGAATTGAATTTTTTTAAAAAAATTATTCTCTCGCGAGTAATATATATAAATTTTTTTTTGCATTTATTCTGTTCAGAAATTTACCGCAATTTCCATAACGTGTGACTATAATAGCCGTTTCCCTTCCCTAGAGACATGCCTCAAGCTACCCACATTTCTGAGCCAATTTCAAACTTCTAATTCAGTTTACAATTTGATTGGAGGTCAATTAACTAGAGTTCTATAAAGGCAGTGTTAAATCTTAAATTCAATTTGTCCTCGGTATAAGTTTCTATATTTTTGTATTTTCATATTACATTAATTGTCAAATTAGATTCATTTATTTAATTCACTTTTGAAGAATAGTGAAATCATTTTCAATAACAATTATTAACAATTATTATTATTGTTAATAATTAATAATCTAATAAATACACAGAATCGTATGTGTACTTTTGAATCAAAATGGAATAAAGAGAATATTTTTCAGTTTACAGAAAAATTTGAGATTGGAGAGTGAGAAAGTAAAAACCGAATAACAGCAAAGAGAGTTTTTTTTGTCACCGCAAGAGAAAAAATTAAACTTCAGGTGTGTTCAAGAAACCTTCTGAATATGGAATTCAATCTAAATGTAAATACAGATCAAAGTGTATGGGTATGGCGGGATATTAGTTGTATAAAATGGTCCATACTAAAAGTTAAAAACAAAAAAGTATAAATTAAAAAAATATTATTGAAATTTTCTTGCTATATATATAGATGTATGTTCAACAAATTGAATATTTCATTACAGTCGTTAAAAATAATAAATGTAAGGAAGAATATGTAAAAAAAAAGTTATTTTCGTCTAATATTTTCAGTCAACATTATAGAGTTATACATCTTTTAAAATTATGTATTTTTAATGAGGTTATAACGTGCATCACTCATTCAATTCATATTCTTCATTGAATTATGCTCTTCTCTGGATTTAATGAAATTTGCTAATTAAAAATTTTACCACGTTGCAAATGTACAAGTATATATATATAAGAATTATATTAATCCATTGCAGCATAAATTCTACCAAGGAAATTTTTTTTTTAATTATTTCTTTTATTTAATAGAAGAAAATGGGATTGAATTTTTCATTTAGGAATTTTTGAAAAAAAAACTTTGTAATATATTTAAAACGCAAAAGATTTATAATTTTCAGAAAATAACTTTTTTACTTTTCTTTCTTTTCAAATAAAAAAAATAATTTTAAATTGTTTAAATTTTTTATATTAAAAAAAATATATTTACTTTTAAAGGTAAAATGTTTTTAATGTAATAATAATTTTGGATTTTATTTCTTAATAAAATTAGATTTTAATTAAATTATTAAAAAATTTAATTTTTCATAAAGAAAACTGTGATTTCAAATTGATATTAATTTGAAAAAAGGGGAAGTATATCAAGACGCGTATAATTCGAATTGAAAGGCTTTTAGAGATTGAGTTGAAGCGTAGGTCGCACACTGCTCATTCGTCGTTCATTTATTCCAGATCCTTCCTCAAGTAGTAAAACGTCGAAAACGAATTCCGGTGCAGGTCCTTGAGAAAATTCCAATTTCCGAACTAGGCCACTCCCGACTCTGAATCGTCAAGTACTTCGATATCCCTTTTCCTAGAGAATCCTATTTCTCCTATAGTGTGTATATAGTCCTGTTGTAACTGTCGTTATATCTACAGTTCTTCGCGAGCACAAGTGTATAGTTGACATTTAACGACGTGCTTTGTACATTTTGACGACCGCAATTCAACACTCGTCACGTGACACTGTACCGACAACTTATATAAAAAAAAAAAAAAAAAAAAATGATTTCCAAAAGGGTATAAAATGACAATAGAATATATTTCATTATGCGAGACCCAAGAAAGCCTTTAAATATAATTGCCGATTCACTTTTATTCATACGAATAAGCCTTGTGTTGTGACAAGCGTTGACATTCAACTTTTATTTCATTAAAAAATATTCGTCGCATTCATTCAAGTGCCCTGCGTAATTTTTCAAAGGGAATATTATATTGAAGAAATAAAAGCAATTTTCTAAAATCGAGACTTAAATCCCATGATAAATTGTCTAAATTAATTAATTTTCATTATCGATGTAATTACGATGATAACTGAAAAATATTTAATTCATTCAAATAATCGGTCACTTAACAAAATAAAAATAAATATTTTTTACCATTTTATTGGCTCAATAATTATTTAATACAAATAAATATTTATTTGATAATAGTCAAAACCGATTATTTGAATCAAATAAATTTTGTTGTAGAAAAAGTCAATAAAACAATAGTTACAACTAGAAAAAATCAGAAAATAAAATTTTAATTCTTTTTCATAAAAAGATAATACAAAACAAGGATAAAAATATTTTACCCTACTCTTTTATCTTGATAATATAGCAATTGTGGTTTTGTATAAGAAAAGAAAAATGAAAAAGGATTCAAAAGGGGGTAAACATTTGATTTTTCCTCGAGATATTAATTTTATTGTCAAACAGCTATTTCATCTTCAGGCAAGAACAAATTCATGAAAACTAATCAGTCGTGAAATGATCCCCGCGTTTATGAAAGAGGAAGAAATATACCGCGGTATATCGGTTATAGAGATATTTTTGAAGCGCGCGCACCTTTTGGTTTTCAATGGAAAAAGATTTGGCAAGTGTTGGAAAAAAGATATAAGGCCTATCGAACGATGTAATTTGATTTGACAACTGCATTACCCTTCAGGTTCATATATTGTATTATGATTTAAAAGCTGCTTTCTGTTTATGTTAAAATGAAACGTTGTACATTTGGACAGATGCTAGATGCTCCGATAAGTTCTATATAATATATCAAGATGATATCCAAATATTGTACCATACTGCCCTTATTACTATGATTTTGATATATAAGAATCTTATTTCATTTCACAAGATTTTATTTTAATCACATATTATATTATTGCCCTATAATGTATAATATTCATATTGATCAAATAATTATCTGGATCAAAATCTAATTTTTGATCTGTTTCATGAATCAGATTATAATACAGATCATAAACGAGATCATAAACCAGATCATAAACTAAATCATAAACTAAATCATCTTCTAAATCATGATCTAGTTTATGATCTGATTCATGATCTATGAATATGATTTAGTTAATCTAATCATTAATGGAGATGGTATTTGTTTCAAATAGAGTAATTATTGATCAAATATAATTCAATTATTTGGTTAAAGTAAATATTTATTTGATTGTCAAGTAACCGATTACTTGAATTTTTTTTCAGGTGAAGTGTTGATTTAATTTACTATAATAATAAAATGCGAGATGAAAATTATGTACATTTTTGCGAGCTTATATTGGAAAACGTTTTTGTGATCAGATCAAAATGAACTCTTAAGCAAATTGCAATCAAAAGCAATTTAACAAATGAAAGTTCCTCGCAAAAAGATCATAATTATCTTAAGTGATGGGAAAAGTCGTTCCATAAGTATCAAGATTTCTGGAAATGATATAGGGGCGACCTTTAGCTAATAGACTGATAAATTAATTAAAAATTAACTTTTTATAGACAGTTATTAGTTTAGATGAACAAGATATTTATTCCCTATTTGCAAATATTGAATTTTTGATCAGAATCGAACTTTTTTTTAAATTCCTCCTCTGTATCTAAATAACTTATTGAAATCTCAGTTACTACCTATTATAGATAAATATTATATTTGTCCAACTAACATTTTAATGCTTTCAGTTTTATGAAATTCTAAAGGTTAAAAGATTCAATGAAAGTTCGCTCTTCTTTTTATACTGAACTTAATAAATATAATCCACTCTAAGGAGATTAAAATCAGAAATCCTCATTCGAAAGCTGATTTTGTCCAATTCATTTAAAATCCGTTATCCAAATTAGATTATATATTTCCTCATTTTTTAGTTTTTTAAAAATTAATCTTTTTCTAATTAACCTTTTTTTATCTACACATAAATAAATATATTCGAAAAAACATTACCAGGTTTAATAAAAAAAACTAATAATTTAAAAATAAAAAAATCGTAATTTTTAGAATTTATATTTATTGTTATTGGCAAATATAATCAAGGGAATTTCGTTAGGCAAAATTAATTAAATTGCCCGTGAATGATGTTGTGAACTATAATCATATGTCGGTGAAGGATTAAATTATTTTGAGGGTCGAACGTCAAAGGGCTCATTCGATGGTAGTCGAGTGTCTGTAATTGAATTACATTCAGTGCAATTGCATAGTGGCTACTTTAAGCTTTTGGAGTTCTAAAACTTCCAAGACTTGATTTGACTTACACTCTCGAAATGTTGGTAATTTGATATTTTTGATCAAGTTGCAAGATATCCGATATCCCCTTAATCGAAAGGCCTTTACACCTATACATATATACTGTACAATGAATATGATCATCATATACATATGTAAGTGTATAGTATACACATAGAGATTCGAATATGGCGAGGGTAGTAGCTTCAAAGCTAAAGCCGTTTAACTTCGGGGCCAGATACTATCTAATAAATTACCGACTTTGCCAATAAACCTATGAGTACCTACAATTACGCACTTAACCTTATTCTCGATTAAATCTGAAACCTTATATACAACGAAAAGGATAATTTATTTGTTAAGCTCCTATATGTATTATTAGAAGATTTAGAAAGCAATCAGTCAATTTTCCTAATCACGATAATAAATTACTAACAATGATGATCTAAAATTAATTTTCCATTTTGTATGAAGATCAAGACGAGGAAATATTTATAATGGCTGGAGATTACTAGTCGAGTTTATAATTTCAAATTAACAATGGAGTGTGCGGTATTAAGCCAATCCTACAAGGGGACAAAAATGTTTTGAATCCAGTTTGGTGAGTTCACGTGCGAGCAGTACATTTTTCAAATGGGCGTGGTTAGTTTAAATCGTTCTTGAATGTATATGTATGCATTTTCTGATGAGATGAGATGCTGCAGGGAATCTCGAGATAGGGGTGGAGCTCATGAAAAATGTACTGTGAAATTCATGCTAAAAAAGTGATACGTAAACCAGATATCAAAACGAATATATAATCAAAACAAAAATTATTTCAAAAAAAAAAAAAATTATTATTTTAAATAATACGAAAAAAAACGAGAAATTGATTTTCCCATCAAAATTTGATGTACATTATTAAGACTATATTAAACATATTTTATAATCCTTTAGTTAAATTTACATTGAAAAGGATAATCCCGGCAGTGTTATCAAAACACACAAAGCTGTATTCGATATTGTAACTTAGCTTGCAGGCATTATTGATTTTTCAAAAAAAAAATTTCGAGGGTATTTATAAATTGAGCACTAACTCGTTCTTTATAATATGATACGGCAAGACTAAGGATTAGGAAAGAAAGAGTTTCGACTTTATTTTATGTCACAAGAGGACAAAATATTGAAGGGTAGAAACATCATTTTCGATGTCACTGTACATATACAGAAAGAGAAAGAGGGGACAATGGAAACTACCACAAATCCAACCACGAGAAGGTTTCATCAGAAAATAGGGTCTGGAAATTCAAGAAGCTCTACCTAGACTATGTTTTCAGTGACATGCCGACGGGTATATGTTGCTACTATATATTTTTGCTCAGAATAAATGTTACCTTTTCCAACCCAAAAACCAGAACAAAATAAAGCTACCCACAAAGAAAAGAATGCATATCCTGTAAGCATTTCGAACCAATAAATTTTACCCTTCTTCTTGAATTTTATTTTCACTATATCGAAGAAACTTTTATCTTGCATGCTTATTTTATTTTACATTAGAGCTTGAGATATCTGGAGAATAATTTTGAATAGGGTGTTTTAAAATACCATTGAAAATAATATAACAAAAATTTTATTTGAAAAGTATTTTCTGCTAGTGATTTTTAAAGTCGAGGATCGATAAGAATAAGTTTAAATTTAACTGAAAGAGATAGATAGAAAGAGAGAGAGAGAGGGATAAGAAAAGTAAAAAGAATACAATGGCTCTAGACGACACGATTGAATAAAGCTTTCTGTGTGTCAACTGAGACAGAATGGGGAAAAATTCTAAAGTGATGTATCTTGACTTTAGACTTTTTAGTTCAGTTTCTGAATTTGACAACTACTCTTCAAGAAAGGATATTGTATGTTACATATAAAATGCGTATTCAAACTCTTTTTCTCCTAAATCATATTTTATTGATATCAATCGGACTTTTATAACATAATTTATATTTCAAAATAATTTTCTATTATTATTTTTATAGAAAAGAAATAAGATTTGCAGGAAAAATTAAGTGTATAAAAAAAAGAATTTGGCGTAATTATATATTCCATATGAATTTTATATACGAATTGCATATGAACTCACTTGACACACGTGGCCTCACAAAAGACCATTTTACAACCGCAAAGGATGAACACGTGTGGATTTTACATTCACAGAACGTGTGGAACATTTAAATGTATACACACAATGTCCTATGACCCGAATTATTTGTAGATTGAACCATGAGCTAGAAGGAAAATTAAATTAAGATTATCCAATTACTATTGACTTTTATTTACCGATAGAGAACAAAACCAGATTTACATTTCTATTATTTCAATTAAAAATAACTGAAAAATTATTTATTTTCATTTCATTAGTCCCTATTGTGAAAATTATGATGATCAATTTTCATTTTACTTTCCACCTACAAGATAATAATTATTATTTCTAACACGAGAAAGCTCGAAAAGCATTGGAAAAATATAAGTCAACTTGTTTAATTCCAACTGACTCGAGAAAATGTATACTCATTTCTCAAGGACGTATAATGGAAAGAAACCTTTTGTTTTATAAATTGTATTCAAGTCTTTTCTCTAAGACAATGTTTCTACTTGAAATTCCGAAAGATTACTTTAAGATAAAAGGATATAAGAAAAGAAATGCGTTTTCATCTTAGATATATTTTGTATTCCCTTTTATTAAAGGTATATATTTACATTGGATACTAATATCAGATTTAATATATTTGCAAATCCGAATAATTTATAAGAATTATTCATATAACTTTCAAGTTTAAATTAATGTGACTTTCTTATTCAAATCTAAGACTGCAGATAGAATTATTAATCAAAAGATGCAGAATTTAAAAGAACATTTTCTCTTTAAAAATTTTCCAAGGTTGAATTTCAAGATGTAACGGCTGATATATTTTTAACAATTAGCCTTCCTAATTTTAGTAACAATAATAATTATAAATTATTATTTTTATGAAATATAAATATTTTTATAAATGTTATTGTTAGAACGATAATAAAGCATAAAAAAATACAGTCGAGAAAGCATGATAACTGTCAATTGAAAAATATCATCTATAAAAAAGAACTTTTGGACGTTTAGAAGTCTTTCTTTTGACATGTTGAGTAAGGAGCGACAGATTATGGCATTATGGGTGGTAATCATTTATAAAATTGACCACGCGCCAGTAGTCTTCGAAAGGCAATGAATAGTAGTCAAGAAAAAAAATTCCTACAATCCTTACACAAAAGAGCAACATATGTCCCTATAAAGCGTGCGCGCTCCCGTCCTACTCGAATCGCAGCTACCAATTATTTTCTCCCACTGATATACAAAAAATAAAATAGAAAAAAATTCCAATACAAAATATTTAGGTGAATCAATTATAATAATTCCCGACTCATAGCTAACATAGTTTTTTTTTCGATTTTCATTAAAGAAAAATTTTGTTTTATTTATTACTAACACATTTTTTTATGTATTTGTTTTCTTTATAAAACAATTTACTTTCATGAAAAATAAATTTTTGGGATAAATTTCTATTATGAAGAAAACACAATATTTAACCTTTATATTCGTATATAAAAACCAGAATTAAATGGAATTATACATATTTTGAAAAGAAAAATCAGAGAATTGAAAATTTCCTTCTTTTTCTTTTTTTTTGATGAAAAACCAAGGTGGACTGAAATGTCTTGTGAGAGCACGTGAAAGATGCATGACAAAGCTGAAAAGGTGTACCTTTTAGACGCCTGCACAAGTTATCTGACAAATCGACTTTATGTAAAGTCAATGCACTGGAAAATTACCCGATTACTGTCTATCTATGAAAAGACGTTTTATGGTCAAGCACGAGTTTCTGCATGAAATATGTGACCCTTGAAACTCACAGTAGTTACATTCACATTGAAAGCCCTATATATATTATACATATACTTTGACTTGAATTCAACCATCCTCCGTTTAAATTTTAAAGTTGCTTTAGTTTGTTTGAATTTCAACACTGACTATTATATGTATATAGAGGAATGAAAGCAAAGCCGCTTTCTTAGCTCCAATGAAAACGTATACATGTATGTATGTTTATTATTAAAACATTTCGAAAAAATTTTATTCCGTATTATTTATAACAGAAAGGGGCATAATGTGGGATAAAAATGTTGAAATTAATAAAAAATAGTAATCCATGAAGGAAAAAAAATATGTTAAAAAATATTGTCATGTACCTATACAATAAATGTAAAATTTTATAGAACCTGTAATTAAAAAAAAAAATTCAATTTAAAAACAAAGGTATTTTATAAATAAACCTTAAGAAATAAAAAAAGACCTGCAAAAATACTTGATTAGTTCAAAAGTGAAAAATATTTTCTCACCACGATGATTCTACTGAAACAAATAAAAAGAAACAAACACAATGCATAAAAATATTCTCGTTCTGTTACACATTGCTTGGAATATTATTTTTCCTACACTAACACCGACCTACACATTAAAATAGAAATAATTTTTCCAAACAAGGGTAAAAGAACGATTTTATAGAACAAAATAAAAACAACATAGTGACGAAAATATATAAATTGTAACATATAAATATATATGGACTGTAACTATATAGTTACTACACACGTACACATACCAAGTCTAATTTTTATTTCCCTACCTATAGCTATATTTAATAAAGAAATCTATTCCAATCACACACCAAAAAATTTTTGCCTCCCTAGCTATATTTAAAAATATCTGAATTTAATTCACAACAAACATTCTGCACGGATCTCTCTCATACCGCCCAGGCGCAAAGGCCTACACTAGGGATACCGTCCTGGGACGATATCCGACACCTGAGCTCAAAAACACTCAAATTGCTGAAAGAAAATCAAATCATTAGTCCCTAAATTTAATTTCAAAAACTTTAACTTTCATATGCATTAACTTTTTACTTTAATCAATTATAAATATAATATTAAAAGCAAAAGAACATATTATAAGTACTTTAAATCCAATTAAAATTAACAAAATGTTATTAATAAAGATTTGAATTTCAATTTTTTAATCAATTATTTAGAACAATAAAAAACATTCCAAAAAATTAAATATTAAACAAAATATATAATATAAATGACAAACAAGTGTAAACAATAAAAAACATTGGTAAAAATATTAATTTATGCAGTAATAAAATTAATTACTGTAAACAATACTTTTTACCAATGGTGTCACTATGTTGTTATTTTTCCTTCCCTGTTTTCAAAATTTTAATATTTGTTTAATTATTTATTTAGTAATTATTAAATTTTTATTTATTTCATAAGATATCAAAAAATTATTGCAAAATACAAAAGTTAAAAAATAATTTACAAATTATTTCATTAAAATCGTTTTAAAAAAATAAAAGAGACAAAGAATATATGTTAAAAAACAGGGAAGGGGTTAAATAAAAGGCGACTCACCGATCGGCGAATCCCACGTTGGGGCAATAGATACATCGCCACTTCTCGAGCTCTTCTTGGGCCACTCCACGGAGATCCCTCCCATATGCACATCTGCGGGAGACCGGGAGTTATGCTACCAAGCAAAAACAAAAATATAAAAAAAAGACTACTTTGGAATAATTGGTAGCATGCAGGGGCCACTTTTCTTCCTCCACATCCTTCCTGTCCTTCAGTCATCTTTTTGGTTGCACTCTGAAAAAGTAAAAAAAATTGTAGTATAAACAATTATATTTATTTGTTTTACTAAATTTAATATTAATTCATTAGAAAAAATAATTAAACCTATTGTTATGCTTGTGCGAATAATTTAGGAATTTAATTTTTTAAAATGTTAAATAATCTAGTAAAAAGAAAACTCACTATCACACTTTTCCGCTATGTGTCAAAAACATTTATAGACAGCATAATCTTTCTTGAATATAATCTCTTCTTTCATCCTCTGCTACTGGCCAACTGTCTGTAAAAAAATTATTTCTTAAAAATTGTCTTGTACTTTTTGTTGTCGAGAATATTATTTATACATGATAAAATAATTATTTTAATATAACAGTTAGCATTGACATTCTATTTTCAAATATTTAGTTAATAAAATAAAATCATTTTAAATTAATAATTCAAAGTTAATTTTTATTTCAACGTTAATATTTAAAGCTAAAAAACAATATTTAAATATATTTAATTAACTTACATTGAACTGCGCTCAGCAATGCCCGATCTCCTCCAGGAGCTGCTCTGGAACACACCCCTTATCTTCAATAAAATGATGCCTACACATTTAAAAAAATAATTAGCAACAATATTTTTGTAAAAATGTATAAAATACAATTTACTAAAAACAATTTTTAACCATTTAATACTGAATTTAATTTTTCTTAATATAATTTGTTTATAAAATGTCGCCTTAACCTCAAAATTCTTGAATAATATACACACAACAATGAAATATATTTTGACTTTACTGCTTTTATTTGGCGATTTTTTAAATTTTAATTACCAATTTTTACGACCTTTACACTCATAAAATAATACCTGTATATGTGCTCAACAATCAACTTGGTCTCGTCGATATCGAAGAAAGAAGATACTGAGAACATTGATTAATTTTTTAATGTCAGAAGGACTTTGAAAACTTCATTTTACCAATATTTTTTCACAACCAAAAAATTAGCCAAATTCAATATTCGATAGTTATTATATAACAATTATTTATAGCATTGTATCAATAGAGCGATTTACAAACTTACATAATTCTGCATCCACTTGTTCCGGGCCTCCAAATTCTGAAGATCGGTCGATTCATTTCAACAGCATGAAGAAGTGCACTCGAGACCCTTAAGACTTCAAAATCTTTAATAAGTTCTGAAATAAACGTTCAACAGTCAAATAATTGGAATTAGTTAACTTAGAGGACAAAATATAAAATATTTCAGCATTCTGAAACAAATACAAGATTATTTTCTTCAATGTCGCTCAAACCTTGAAATCTTTAAGTATTGCAAACACTCACCTGAAAATGAACTCCATTGTACCTCGACTTGTTCTCCATTAGTAATTTTATGTTTTTTAATTGTTAAAAACATTTATTTTATTTACTTTCTAAATGTATTTTTATCGATTTGTTGCAACATGCCACACTGTTGCCGTTTGGAGGTGAGAAAATTTTCTTTCGCGCCATTACAGTGTTAAAGGTGGATTTACAAGTTCTGGCAGGGTTGGACTGCTGAGTTTCCTGTTTCATACGTAACATTTCGAACGTCCTACTGTACTGCATTTGTTCCAGAAATTAATTCGACCAATCAGATCACTCCATTACAATAGCACCTTTAAGATTTTTGGCGGTTGTGGAAAATGTTTGAAATGGGAGGTGAATGACCTGAATTTGCAAGTTTTGTGCAGTTTTGTGATTCAACTGTTGAAAATGAAGGACGAATATGGAATTCTCGGCTGTCAGTAAATGAGCATCAGGTAAATAATCAAATTCTGTTAATTAATAATTTGTTTTTCTTCACAAATCATCGATAATCCTTAAATCGCAGACGAAAATGAATATCAGATGTACTTAATTGTGAGTTTATTGTACTTCCAAATTTTCGTTTTCGAGATTTTGGGGTTAGCGAAATATGAAAATGTTTTGTTATTTATTTAGAGTGGGATCGGTGATAAATACTCAATGAGTAGTAAATTTTTATTTATATTTACAGGTTATTCAAATACTTTCATCGAAGACTTGGATGAATTTGAAAAATGTCAAATTTGGTAAATATTAATATTAATTAATTGTTGAAAATATATCAATTCGTTGAATATTAATTGCACGTATCCTCTTTCTTCAACATGGACGAGTCCAAGTTGATTGTCGATCACATGTACAGGTATTATTTTATGAGTGTAAAGGTCGTAAAAATAGGTAAAAAAGTCATAAAATCGCCAAATAAAAGCAGTAACATCAAAATATATTTAATAATGTATATTATTTAAGAGTTTTGAGGTTAGGGCGACAATTTATAAACAAATTATATTGAGAAAAAATAAATTCAATAATAAATGGTTACAAATTGTTTTTAATAAATTGTATTTTATACATTTTTACAAAAATATTGTTGCTAATTATTTTTTTTAATGTGTAGGTATCATTTTATTGAAGATAAGGGGTGTGTTCCAGAGCAGCTCCTGGAGGAGATCGGGCATTGCTGAGCGCAGTTCAATGTAAGTTAATTAAATATATTTAAATATTGTTTTTTAGCTTTAAATATTAACGTTGAAATAAAAATTAACTTTGAATTATTAATTTAAAATGATTTTATTTTATTAACTAAATATTTGGAAATATAATGTCAATGCTAACTGTTATATTAAGATAATTATTTTATCATGTATAAATAATATTCTCGACAACAAAAAGTACAAGACAATTTTTAAGAAATAATTTTTTTACAGACAGTTGGCCAGTAGCAGAAGATGAAAGAAGAGATTATATTCAAGAAAGATTATGCTGTTTATAAATGTTTTTGACACATAGCAGAAAAGTGTGATAGTGAGTTTTCTTTTTATTAGATTATTTAACATTTTCAAAAATTAAATTCCTAAATTATTTGCACAAGCATGACAATAGGTTTAATTATTTTTTCTAATGAATTAATATTAAATTTAGTAAAACAAATAAATATAATTGTTTATACTACAATTTTTTTTACTTCTTCAGAGTGCAACCAAAAAGATGACTGAAGGACAGGAAGGATGTGGAGGAAGAAAAGTGGCCCCTGCATGCTACCAATTCTTCGAAAGTAGTCTTTTTTTTATATTTTTGTTTTTGCTTGGTAGCATAACTCCCGGTCTCCCGCAGATGTGCATATGGGAGGGATCTCCGTGGAGTGGCCCAAGAAGAGCTCGAGAAGTGGCGATGTATCTATTGCCCCAACGTGGGATTCGCCGATCGGTGAGTCGCCTTTTATTTAACCCCTTCCCTGTTTTTTAACATATATTCTTTGTCTCTTTTATTTTTTTAAAACGATTTTAATGAAATAATTTGTAAATTATTTTTTAACTTTTGTATTTTGCAATAATTTTTTGATATCTTATGAAATAAATAAAAATTTAATAATTACTAAATAAATAATTAAACAAATATTAAAATTTTGAAAACAGGGAAGGAAAAATAACAACATAGTGACACCATTGGTAAAAAGTATTGTTTACAGTAATTAATTTTATTACTGCATAAATTAATATTTTTACCAATGTTTTTTATTGTTTACACTTGTTTGTCATTTATATTATATATTTTGTTTAATATTTAATTTTTTGGAATGTTTTTTATTGTTCTAAATAATTGATTAAAAAATTGAAATTCAAATCTTTATTAATAACATTTTGTTAATTTTAATTGGATTTAAAGTACTTATAATATGTTCTTTTGCTTTTAATATTATATTTATAATTGATTAAAGTAAAAAGTTAATGCATATGAAAGTTAAAGTTTTTGAAATTAAATTTAGGGACTAATGATTTGATTTTCTTTCAGCAATTTGAGTGTTTTTGAGCTCAGGTGTCGGATATCGTCCCAGGACGGTATCCCTAGTGTAGGCCTTTGCGCCTGGGCGGTATGAGAGAGATCCGTGCAGAATGTTTGTTGTGAATTAAATTCAGATATTTTTAAATATAGCTAGGGAGGCAAAAATTTTTTGGTGTGTGATTGGAATAGATTTCTTTATTAAATATAGCTATAGGTAGGGAAATAAAAATTAGACTTGGTATGTGTACGTGTGTAGTAACTATATAGTTACAGTCCATATATATTTATATGTTACAATTTATATATTTTCGTCACTATGTTGTTTTTATTTTGTTCTATAAAATCGTTCTTTTACCCTTGTTTGGAAAAATTATTTCTATTTTAATGTGTAGGTCGGTGTTAGTGTAGGAAAAATAATATTCCAAGCAATGTGTAACAGAACGAGAATATTTTTATGCATTGTGTTTGTTTCTTTTTATTTGTTTCAGTAGAATCATCGTGGTGAGAAAATATTTTTCACTTTTGAACTAATCAAGTATTTTTGCAGGTCTTTTTTATTTCTTAAGGTCTATTTTTAAAATACCTTTGTTTTTAAATTGGATTAACTATTTTTTCATTAAAATTACAATTTCTAAAATCTCACATTCTCGCTTTATGACAATAATTTTCTCTTTGTGGATTACTGTTTTCCATAAATTTGAACATTTGTATACTTTTGTTGTATATTATTTTTCTCTTTTTTTTGGTGAGATATTTTTATACATTTAAAATTTTTTGGAATATTTTTTAAACATCCTTTATACTGTATCGGTAAATGGAATATTCCTTTTTTTTTTTTTTTATTTTTATGGAACTTCATGACCAAATTTTTTTTGGGGAATTTGAAGTCAGTTCATAAAAATCCAAAATAACGGATCGAATATATTAGTTGTAGTGGTAGTGTTAATTTGTGCGTGACTTAATACAATATCATAAATGAATTATTGATCAAGGTATGTATGATTAACATTTAGGTTATATCTTCTAATATATCGTTCCTAATGCAAAATATTTATACAAGTTAAAAGTTAAATTAAAATTCAACTTTCAAATTGATTAGAAAAAAATTCGGACACACTATCATTTCATAAACCGCTATTATACATTGTTAAAAAATATTTTTTCCGGTTTAGTGATCTGTTATGATATAATTAAAAAAATATCCTTTGTATATAATAATTTGAAGAATCATCCGTGACCTCGTGGGACGCGTGTCATGTAATCTTTAACAGCCACGCGCTTCTTTACCCACCAGTGAACAATCAAGTGTCTCTCGTTATATTACCAATAGTTGTTTGCTTTGGGCTGTTGAGTCAATAAAGAGTAGTGATTTAGTAAACAAGTAGCATACTGTTGGCGGCGATTCATTCGCTCGTATAATTTACTAAGTACAAACACATATTCAATAAATTATTGTCTGTTACTATCCAAATTATCACTAATTTCGCAGAAGTTGTCATTTATTTGGTAAAACTTCCAATTCATTAATTTAATTGGCACAATAATAACGTGACCAAATTAACACCTTGTATTTTATTTTCCATATGGTCAATTACAAATTGCAGAATTAATTAATTTATTATTGTATGTAATTCAAAGTTTGACGACAATAAAATTACTTCTTTAATTAGACAATTTTAAATTTACGCGAAACAAGAATAGATGAGAGTAAGGTAAATATTTTGTTTTCCATTTAA